GGGCTATCTACATCGTCGAACTACCAGGAATGATCCACGAAGGCATGAGCTGCAATCTAGTAGTGGCAATCGCGGTCGCAACTGGAACCTTCAGCATGAACCTCGAACCACGCGGAGCGACTTTTGTTGATGCCCTAGAACATATTGAACCAGACCAGAGCTTTGGGCCGGCCCCAAATATCGGCGCAGTCCGTCCTGCAAACTTCGCATGGAATGAGTTCCATACGCTGAAGATCGAGGTCGGTGTCTCTCGCGGCTGGGCGCTTTTGGATCCTAAAGCCATTCTCTGGGCAGCATTCCCTGGCGTCGCGTACATCTTGTGTGCATCTACATCTCTCCACACTTTGAAACGTGCCAGTACAAGCTCCACTCTGTCGAGCCCCCAGGAGGCATCGTGGGGGTGGCGCCGCAGGATGTCGCCCCCATTGACATCAATGACGCGACGGTGGTGACGATGGACTCGCGACGGCTTCTTGCTCTCCCTCCCAATGTTCCACTCCCTCTTGGTTTCGCCAATCCAAATGTCCAGTTTCAGCTCCAGCCTTTGGTGCTTGACACGATAGCGAGTGCCCAACGTAATGGTTAAACTATTGATACTAAAGTCCAACTCAGGTATACAACCGACATACTTCGAAGTACTCCTATTAATGTAGGTATATCGTGTTATTACAATAAACATTAGTGATTGAGACGATGTAGATTATTATTAATTGTGTGATATTATGAAATTCTAAGAGGACCGATAAAAACAAATACTATTATACTAACCAACGAAAAAGACCAATTTAACTCTAAATACATATAAACAAACTTATGTGGAACCAATACGCTAATCAAATCATCAAAACCCCTAAATAACAGGTGTTGAAGCTGCATGAAGTTGGTACTGGGGCTCGATGGAGCCGGCAAGACGATGCTCTTGCGACAGCTTAGCCACACGTGCAAGGACGAATTCCACAACCCCAAGCTCGGCTCCGTCTTTGAGAAGGTCCGCATCCGCCTGTTCGCGGACTCTGCTTCTGCTGCCGAAGTCGACGGCATCGACGTCGCGACCCTACCAACGACAGGTGTCCGTCATCAATCCTTCGCACATGTGTGCGTCAACGTGCTCACATAAACTAGGAGTGGAAGAAGAGACGAACGCATACCGCAACTTGGCATATGGACCAGCTTTCCAGCCAAATCCAATACAAATGTGGAATTGTTGAACGCATATCTAAAACATACAAATCATATATTAGGAGTTGATTATCATCACTTACCCTGGTGATAATAATAAATAAATATATTTTTTAACCTTACTGTTAATGACCACAAAAAATGTCAGAGTGCAAAAATCGAGTTGACGCGGATTTTGGCGCGCGTGCTGCGGTTCACGGAGGCGGGGCTTTGGATCTTTAGGCAAACCGAGAAGCTCATGATGCGGTCGTTGTGCCGAAGCAGCAGCTACGATGGCGTGTCCGGTACGAACTGCATGCAAACTAGGAGTAGCAGGCCTGGAGTCATCCCCATGGTTGCAGTGATCTTCCACTCGTTCAGGTTAAAGCTCACTTAGCATGTGCTCAAGTACACGAAGAACTGGCGTGTACACCATGCGGCCGCGGAGCATGTGGATGAGCTGCGACGTGGTGAGGACGCGGCCCCGGGAGTCGTCTTCGCTCAGTTCTGCCAAGAGAATCGGCACTACGATGGAGAAGACCGACATGGCCACGCCGAGGCAGTAGCGACAAACGAGGAGCATGACTTGGCCGAACGCCACGCCCACAAACAACCAACCAAGGACATACGGAATGGCGGCGAGCTCGAGCATCGTGGCCCGACCCAAGCGATCGGCAAACTTGAACGTGATCATCGAACCCAGGAGCATGTCTAGTGGAAGGATCTGCTGGAAGAAGAACTCGGCGCGGTTCACGCGGCCGTCGAACATGTAGACTTGGATGTTGTACAGTCGCGAAGGCTACAGTATACATAGCGATAGTATATACTAGTATCACTTTGGATTACTAATCCGTTGAACTTATAATTGATGACATACAACCATGTGCACTAGTATATTCATAGTATAAAATAGATATGTAATACAATAAATAAAGTTTACACTTGTATTAAGCAATAATAAATAAAGTTTACATATTAAGCAATCAATATAATTATTAAACATGATTGATGAACACGCAAAAAGAGTACATAATGCAACTATAACCTGTATAATACCAATTTAGACCATTTTTTGTGCCTCTCCTCTCAAAATGACCATTTCTCAGTCATCAGTAGGAATTTTGAGCTTTTGAAACTCAATTCACAAAGAGGTATTGTTTGTATGTCTTTGAGGGAAACACGCGACGTTCTTTTCCCACGGTAAGAAAAGAAAGTTCCAATAAACGTTTTAGGCCGAGTCTGGATGCCACAGAAAATTTGATGTCAAATCATATTCTGACATAGAATTCCCTTTTCAAATGGGAGGCGAGAAAATATTTTCAATTGGTTTGATGTAACCTCTGGATACCATGATGGAGTGAGAACTATCGATAGAATATCATGTTTGTAAAAAACTGGACTGTTGCAGTTCAAACTTTGTTCGGTGAGAAAAGAGTAAAAATTCGACGTATTGTGTCACTTTATATATTTCAGATTTGGTAGCCAAAAGCTGTCATTTGAAAAATTGTCATAATATTTCTGAAAAGCTGCAAATCCGCAACAATGTGAAAAACGTGCATGCAAAAAACCTCATATTTAACGTCCTGTTTCAGAAATCCGCAACACGTATTTTAGGCCGATATGTGCATATAATACCTGTTTCGGAAAGAGAACCCCCGGATATAAATACACCTAAAGTGTTTTTAAATTTGTCTCCGTTTTATTCCGTTGAAATTTATATTGTTCGAAATAGGTGTTTTCTGAGAGAGCGCCCTTAACAGCAAGGTTAAAAAACGTATTGATTATTATCCCCAAGATATTAATATTAAATAAATAACGTTATCAACTCTTCCCTGCAATTTCACAAAGCTACACCGTTGACCGTAATTAGTTCGGATTGAGAATTAGTGTGGAGTCAGAATTAGTGCAGTAACCGGTAAGGAAATCAGTAGTACTTCGAAGTACGTACCGGTACAGTAGTAGCAATTCGCGGGTAAAAGGCTTAGGGTCAGGTTTTAGGGTCAGGTTTTATACTTTTGGTATAGTAAGTTGCGTAAAAAGGCACAGCAAAAGAGGCAAAAAAGAGTAGGAAATGTAATTGGAACCAATTTTTCATCTACGTAAAATATCAATTTACAGTTAAGACACATGACTCAATTTAAGATCTATGCTCCGAGGCCTGCATGTGGCCATCCCTCTCTTCGACCATCCATCCCGTGTCGGTGCTGTGTACCGTCCTTTTTGGTGGCGCAAGCCGTCTTGGTGCTACCAAGAAGTCTTGCGCCATCGCTTAGACGAGAACTGCCACGCATTGCGACCCAACCGAGTGCACATAATGTTAGGTGCGGGGATAAAACCACATCGGAAATAGTCGGGATGAATTCATCAGTGACACAATTCTCCAGAGCATCACATGAAGCTCACAAAATTCAAGCGTCCAAGTATGAATAGTAAGCTCAACATTGTGACCTCTCTCTACCAGTACCGGTGCTGTATTATAATCAATCGAATGTAAGAAACTGGGTGTAATGGGCTCTTATTGGATATTAAAAGGAAGCAAGGTACAGTGTTCACCTTGCGAATTCCTTTAACAAGTCATTTACAGTTAACAAAATGTCTACACCAGGCCTTGCATCTTACCTCCGTACGCACCTAATTTTCACTTATATACTGGTATACTACACCTTTTTCCGGTTAATTTCGGGACCTCACCATACTTTTTCGCGAAATGAACAAGCAATTCGTGGCGGTTCCACTTCGTTCGTTGTATATTCGTTATATTTCGCCTGTAACCAAGAAGGTTGCAGTATATTTCAAGCGATGTTCCTTATATTTCACTGTGTATGGGCTCATTTCAGCGAGTACTCAATATATTTCGGGGCGCTATCGATATATTTCGAGCGAAAATAGAAAGGAATCACTTCAACCGAAGATCTCGCGGGCTTTCGCTCATTCTTCAAAACGACGGTCGATGGAACAAGCGCTTGCCACACCAGTACGTTCCAATACATACCCTATGTACCTAGTTGATGTGTCCTAGCCACGCCGCCGACCCCATCGAGAATCTTTGGTCCACAATGAAGAGCCACAGCAAGACGTTGCTGCGCGAGCGCCTTGCTGCGTGTATGGGACCTCGTCGTGACGGACAAACTCGTGACGAGTTTCGTATGAGCACATCACCGACGAAGTCATTGCAGGTATGGATCGTCGATGAAAATGTAACTTATACATTTGCAGATGTAGACGTGAACCGCCTGCACCGTTGCTCGTTGCGGCTCGAATAACTTCTACGGCCGCGGAGAACATGGAAGGCATGGAAGTTGGAGCCTGATTGACCAACAATTGCATTTTACGTCGAAAGTCAGATTGAATTACATTTCTTATTGAAATATATCGATTGCACCCCGAAATATATTGAGCACTCGCTGAATTGAGCGCATACACAGTGAAATATAAGGAACATCGCTTGAAATATACTGCAACCTTCTTGGTTGCAGGCGAAATATAACGAATATAAATAAACAACGAATGAAGTGGAACCGCCACGAATTGCTTGTTCATTTCGCGAAAAAGTATGGTGAGGTCCTGAAATTAACCGAAAAAAGGGTGTAGTACTACATTATATTAATCCTTAATTATAGAATATAGCGATAGTATACATAGCGATAGTATATATCACTTTGGATTACTAATCCGTTAAACTTTTATAAGATGACATGCCGTCCTCGCTGACCAAAGCGGTCCTAGCGGTGCTGCGCCAGGTGGATCTGGTGCTGCGCAAGTCCACGACGCGAGGAAATAACGTTATCAACTTTTCCCTTTCACTAACTACTCCAATTTCACAAAGGTACATGTCTCATATTTCATTCATCCGGATTTATCCAGATTTCGAACAAATTTAACGTTACTATTTTCCTTGGCGCAACAGTTACGCAATACCTGTATAAGTTAATATTTACTACTACCCTGGCGCACAATAGTTGTCGCCTCCATTTCACTTGATTTATGTATGCCAAATCTTGAATTTTCCGAATAAACCTGTCTAATTGGATACGAAGTATCGGATTATATAGGTAAATACACCAGCATCGGGTGATGGCAGGTCGCTTCCGAGATGGCTTGGTGACGCATGGCTGTATGTCAGCTCAGAGGTATGGTGCGAGCACGCTTTCAATGAATGACAAGTAGCATTCAATCTATAGGTTCACTCAGCGGAGTACGAACTCTCGAAGAGTTCCTTAGTAGCAATAAGAGCATGGCACGGACATCGCCATCCTCCCATCGTTGGTGGAGCTACTGGACTACATACAGGCCAAACTGCGTTGCGCGCCAGTGAGAAGCTTCAGAAGAGATGTATAATGCTACAGGAATCGAAGTGTATGTGAACTAACGACGTCATCATAGCCTGGCGGGTGAAGCACCACATCTTGTTCTTCGCGAGCTGCAGTTCTGATGTCGTATGGTGCACGTCATCTATAAACTACTCGGAGTACTCGGAGTACCAACTTTTCACAAAAATTTCTGACTTCTATTTCATACTAGTACAGTATTCATTACTCAAAATTTCAGCAAATTGAGACGTAGAATCTATTAATAGTACGACGAAAGGAGAGGACCTGGAAATAGCCAATCAAAGAGGAGATCCTACGCTATGGATTGCACCAATCAGAAGCAAAAACGGTGAAGTATTACAAAAATTCCACCAATAAGAAATCGAACGTGACAACTATTACAGTATGCACCAGATTAGTACTACAGTCCTACACTGTACACACTTGCTGAGCTTTCAATTTTGTTCCAGTGGGGTGGTTTCGTTGGCGGCTCCGATTTCAAAGTCCATGCCACCTGGCGTCGGGGACAGGATTGGCGTGGAATGGATGTATTTGTGCGGAACGAACGAGTACTCGCTCCGCCCTGGATCTCCCATAGCATGGATGATGCGCTTCCACTCCAAAGACGATGAAGGCTCCACTGCCGCCACAACACCGAGGGGATTCTACAAGGAGAGGTATCATGGGTATTGCATTGTGATTGGTGCAAACTGCCCAATCAGTGTGCGTACCAAACACTCCATACTGAAAACAATTGAGATTTATGATACTTCGAAACTCCGCGAAGTAAATAATTAGAATTGTTTCATTGGCCCAAATTCAGACCCAACGCATAGCCATTGGTCACAATGTTACCAATTGGAGGATACTGGATATTGGTGTAAGGGTAAATACATTTATTTATATAAATATATGATGAAATAAATAAATTTGGGATATCGAGAGAATGTTGTTCTTTGCCTTTTGCGTCATTGCCCGACTGAATCCTCGCCGCGAGGCCACGATGGACGAAGAGCTCAGTCGGTTACTCGGCCTGTTGAGCGATAAGACTGCTCTCACAGGGGATTACGCACCACATGAGCCTCTCTCTAAGGTGGCCATCCCAACGAAGGACGGCAGCGGATGCGGGGATACTTCGGGGACCTCCCCCGACACAATTACTTCGCAGAGTATTCTGTCTCCGATGGACGCGCCAATTCGAACCTCATGGTACCCAAACTGCCCGGAAGTCGACGAAATTCCCCACTTCCGTCGATTCATCTCGCAAGTTGCCTCGGAACGGGAGTGGGAACATGCACGACGAGCGCAATTCGTGAAGTCCAGGGCCGCGTCCCCACCAGAAGAATCATCCCCCACGACATCAACGACAACACCCGACACATCTACATTGCACACAAGAACGTCTAACACGTTTCTCCATCTGGATGACATCTCCCCACGAGAATGGCCGCATATTCCTGGGAAAGACGTGTCGTCGTGGGACAAAGTGGTGTCGGACGTCGACATCGAGTCGGTTCAATTGTCGTGCGTTTCCAGGTTGCTTCAGCTGACTCCTGGCATTCTACGGTACGAACCCATTGACGTGCCACGTTTCCTGCAAGACATCACAGCCTTCCTTCGCGACCGAGGCATTTACGAAGGGTACGTCGGGTTGCTTTATCACCCACCCACCGTGTATCCTTCACATGTGTCCATCAGGTCGACGACAAGGACTCCTTGGACGCTGGCATCGTTTCGAGCCGTCATGGTGATGCTCACTCTGGGCATTCAACTGCAATCGGCGTGCATCTTGCAAGACGTGGCCTTTCTGTTGCTGGACTCGCGGGATCAAGTCGCGTCCGTGTTCCCACTTCCTTCCCAAGATCAACGGTTGCTTCAAGCTGCCATGACTCTCCTCAGTCACTTCCCCACCGCCGACACTTGCGCGACTCGTCTCGCCCTGCCCGTCTCCCGGTGCCTCATCGGGTCGTGGGTGCTGAATGCCCAAGCGCTGTCGCACCGCGACGCCATCGCCACCGACGGCCTGTTTCTTTACATTTTCAACCGCGCCGGGCTCTTCAAAGTGGGAACGGGGGCCGGGGAGACTGTGCGCAACATGGTGTACCTGCACAATCGGTCGTACTGCCGCGGTGGCGACGTCGAGCGCTCGTGGTTGTGCGTGGCGGGGCAGTCTCTGTACTGCCGCACCATCGCCATGCCTGGCCATAGTGTCGATCGCATTTCACTCGACCTGGAGACAGTCACGCCTCTGTTTCTAGCGGGAGGGGGGGCGAGGGGCTCTACATCGGAGGGCGTGTCGTCCACGAGCATTTACGCCATGATTTCCGACGGCAAGTCGCTGTACGCTGTCACATGTCGGGGCATTCCGACCAGTGGCGACGTCAAACCGCCAGCCCCTCCGACATTGCATCGTTCCAAGACCAAGCGGAAAGAGCGCGCGGCTGCGCTCGCCGTCGTGTCCGCGCTAGGTATTATTGTCGACGTTTCCCCAAACTGTGGATTTCATTCGATATCTATCACATTTATCGATCCATGATATGTACGGATATTGTTGAAGTATGCACTGATCGCCCAGTGTCACACTAATTTCAGTCTCACCACACACACTAATACTCATTCGATTGGTTTTGGTCGACAAGTGGCCACTTGAGTCGTGTGCTCTGGGTTTTGATATTGTGTTTCTTTTACCCAAAATTTGGTTGACTTATGTGCTCATTATGCGCCAAATCTATCTATCGATTCGTTGTACTGACTTTTGTATGTAAAAATCATCCAGTGCCACACTAATTTCGGTTCGCACACTAATTCGATGTTGATTTGATCGAAGAGTGAACTTGATTGGTCGCTTGATTCGTGTTATGGGTTTTGATTGGTCGATATATCGATTGTCTGTCGATTTGGGTATTCTGCTCATTCGATTGAGCAGCACCCAAACACTCGAATTTCGAATATATCGACTTGACCATATGCATCGATATATAAATTGTGTGCCAATTTGAGAATCGAATTGACAATATATATATATATATATATAAATTACTTGGATTGCGTACCTTATCGAAAAAATCTGAAACACTCACTCCTAGAAGCGAACCCGATTCACGTGGGGGACCGGGTCGTGCGAGGACCCGACTGGAAGTGGTCGAATCAGGACGGAGAGCCGCCAGGGAGTGCCGGGACCGTCGAGCGCATTTCGACGTGGGGAGGCGTCCAAGGCAGCGGCATCACCGTGCGATGGGACAAGAACCAACGCATGAACACGTATCGATGGGGAGCGGAAGGCTGCTTTGACATTCAAATCGTCCACGAAGATGCTAGTGGCCACATTGTATCGCACAAGCCGATTAAAACCGACAGCAGCCGCGCGTCCGCCGCTTTGAGATCCACCGCGACACTGCACGAGTTTGTCGTGTATCGATACGATCCGTCGACGTTGGAAACGCACTTGGACTTAGCCGAGGAATGCATGCGCGAGATGCTGCAGATTCCGTCGGCCAAGACGGACGATGTGGTGGTAGAGCCGGCCGTGGCACATGGTCTCTGGACGACGTCGTCCTCCCATCCCCACGCAGTCGCACAAAGCGACTCGACCACACCTTGGCTGTGTGATGGCCACCAATTGGGCTGTATGGGGCCGACTGGAGTGCGCTATCGATGTCTCAACGGATGTGACTTTGATTTGTGTGCCAACTGTTTGGAAACCACTGCAAAAGACATAATGACTCCAGATGACGGCAACGAGGAGGGCGGGGTGTTGCTGGACCTGTTGCCGTTCGCACAAGAAGGTGCGGGGGTGCTTGTGTATAACTATCCAGTGTGTGTGTGAATCTCTAGTGATCGGCTGTTGTTGTAGACGACGCGTATTTCAAAACCGAGTCGAAGCCAACGACCGCGACGACAGACGTGGACCCTCAAGCTGCGTTGGTCGAGCTGCAACGAGCGTGGCAGGGTCAATTCGGAGCAAAGGAGTGTGCGGTGGCGCTGATGAAGCATGGCCACAACGTCGGCTTGGCCAACGAGTGGCTCGTGACCTGTGGCGCGTCCGTGCTCAAGCGGCAGTGTGTCATGCCCGTCCAAGAGCGTATAGTGCTGGAGCAAAACAACTTGACGTTCTTGGACCCGGTGCTGCTGCTGGCCGCGTCGTTTTACACGACGGGGACGCAGCTGGGCGTTGTCATCCCCGCGGGCATCTGCCACGTCGAACCACCCGCAAACCCACGGCACGGCGACGTCTTGAACGTGTTTTCGATGGTGTCGGGATCACTTTTGTCGGACGTGGTCCATCCGTCGGTCACGGTGCCGGGGGGGTCCCCCATGTGCTACGATCACGTCCGCGACCGCTTGATCGGATACGCTGTCCATGCGGCCGTCGTGCTGGAGTTTACCAACATGGAACATGCGTCGCCGATTACTAGTACGACAAAGGAGCCAGCGGCAAACGACCCCGGGGCGGCGGTGTTGTACCACTTGGCGCGGATTGCCGGGTTGCGGCACCGACTGCCTCCGACGTATTTCCCACGGAAAGTCATCCAAATGCACATTCAATCGCTGCTTGGCCGAGGCCCGTTCAAGAAGCGGCAACTGAAGAAGCTCCAGGCGCGGTACGACATGATGGCCCCCGATCCCCCGCAAGGGTACGCATTGCCGTTTTGCCCGGACGTGACTTGTCTTGCGAATCTGGCCAAGTACATTGTGCAAGCTGTGACACTGCGATGGCCCCCCGACGTGGTGAACCAGTGGCTTTACTTGTTGGTGGGATTTCTCGAAGAAGCCATGAGTGCCGACATCCACTGGTTTTTCGGGTCGTCGTTTAACGTTGACCCGTTGGAGGATGTGCTGGTGCGGGTAGGCCGAGGCGACTGCGGACCCGAGTACGTGGCCGTGACGTCGCGATTGGCCCAGCGCGCGTTGCTGTGGGGCTTAATCCATCAAGTGTTCTTTGCCTCGTCGGCCAAATTGCAACAGTTGGCGTCGATGTGCGCGTCGTCGGACCTGTCACAGGACAACGCCGCCTTTATGCTGTTGATGCCACTGAGTCACCCTAGTCGTACGTACCCCAACGTGAGTGCCGCCAAGGCCGGGTTCACTGGCAGTCTACTCCGAACATTTTCCTCGAGCGTGATCTTCGTCAAGCGGCTCGTGGATGCGCCCCAAGTTTGGATGGACGAGGTTTTGGCATTGACGAAGAAGGAACAGGAGGGGCTGGAGCTAGACCCACACCGACTGTCGCCTGCGAAGCGGCTGCTCTTTTCCACCACGGCGTACTTGCTGCAACACCCTGAGCACCCGCAAATGTCGTACGTGGTGGAGAAATGTGTGACAGAGTGCAAGTTGCAGCTACGCGGAGACGACCGGCAGTTCCAAACGTCGATGGCGGGGGTGATTTTGCCTCTGATTGTGTCGGGCTTGGCGAATCAGCCGACAACGCTGGCGGTGTCGTTGCTGCCGGTGCTAACAGACCTGTTGCTGGCGATGGATGCGTTGGTGTCCACTCTGCCGACATGCCAAGCGGCCGAACGTGCGTACACTGCGACGGAATTGTCTGCCTTCTTGACGCCGCCGGAAGCGGTGGAAAGTCCGCATCCGTATGGGCTCGGTGTCCCCACCTTTCGCAAGCAAGTGCAGGTCCCGAATGCGACGGCCTTGACGTTCGACTTTGACCGGGCATCCTGCACGATCAACGCGAGTGACTTTTTGATTGTCACCAGCAACCTCCACACAAACCTGGACCGGTTGTCGGTGGAGCGCCCGTTCCAAGGCGACGCGTACCTGTACGGACCGTCTCCGTGGCCGAGCCTGAGCTTGAACGGGGACACGGCCATGATGGTGCTATGTGCGACGACGCATGCACAAGTGGACTCTTCCGCCCACGATAAACTGCGATACGGCGTCAAGGGTCAAGTCCGGGGGTACGTTGGGATGACCATGCCGGCGATATTACGCGTCCAACATGGGCTGGCGTATCTGTGCAGCACCGTCGCCCAATCGCTTCTGGCCACTGAATCCACAACCCACATTTCGCCACAACACATGGACCTGCTGGCGACTTGGAACTCGGTCCCGGACGACGTCGCAGCCATGGCGACGAATCCGGACCATCCGTTTGTCCAACGCTTGGAAAAGCAGTTTGGTCGGCTGTTTCTGCGGCAGTCGGACGCGTGGCGACAGAGTACCCTGGCGTGCGTCGCGGTGTGTGCGGCGGTGGCTCGGGTGGACATTCACGCGGTGGTCCTCGACGTGGCGGCGGTGCGGCCCATCGTCCAACATGTGACCGACCTGCAGCGGTTTATGCTCAAGCACGCTCAAATTGAGAAGGAATGGGAGGTGTTTGTAACAGAAGGAACGCCCCGCGACGGCGTCATGGAGCGGCTGGCTGGGAACGAAGAGCTCGTCCAAGGTCTGTGCTCGTACCTGAACATCACCACCGATCCTCCAACGCCCGAAAGTATATGTGCCACATTGGACCAAGTTCGCGAAACTGCTGCTGCTTCTGACGGTGTGAACAAGACTTGGCCAAGTACCCTGCAACTAGTACGCGATCGGGCTCGGTTGTTGCTGAACCGGCGAGGTCGCCCGTCGGCTGAGCAGGCTGTGACACCGCAGCACCTGACTGCAGTGGTCAATTTCTTGCAAAGTTCAGTCGTGCCGGCTACTATCGACTCTGCCATCGCAGTCCACGAACGAAATGCCAGCCGTCGACTGTACGAACTCTGTCACATGATGGAGACATCTCTGACCAAACGATGTGTGTAGGTCTGGCCTGAAGGTGCTACATCAAATGCTGGGGCAGGTGCAAAGCACGAGCACGCGGCAGTTTTTTATCGGTGCGTTGCTGCACGCGACGACGAAACAGCCCACGAAAACGATAGCCGACACTTGCGAGCTTTGCAGTCCCGACTTGGCGGTTCAATTGCACCATGGGTTTGTTGTATTATGACTCCCCCTATGTTGTGTCGAAGTTAGTGTCGCTTTACGGATGTCAAGTTAGGTTGCGCCAGTATTTCAACTTGACCAGTGCAATGTGTGCCGCCCCCGAGACATTGTACAGCCACAAGGTCATATTGGCGATGGAACTGTGTACGTTGGACGCGAGCCCGCCTTATTTGTCGTTCGATCGCGCGTTGCTTCCCCACGTTGTCCGCCTGATTCTCCAAACTCCACCGACGTGGACCGACTCGTTGAGCGTTTTCTTTCCGAAACAACTCGCCCATGACGCGTTTACTCGCCATATGCACCAGTATGCCGACATGTTGTGGATGGTGTTTCGACGTGTCCTGCTAAAGTCGGCGGGGATTGTGCCATTGACCACCCGACTCGAGTCGTGCCACGAGCTGTTTGAGGTAGCCACAAGCGCCCACGACAAGGCCAGAATCCTGCATCTCGTCCACGACATCATCGAGCCAAACTCGATGGTGTTGCCGCCGAATTGGGCCGCAACGGTCGCCAACGCCATCGACTTTAGCCACGCTCCCCCGCTGGTCCTTCGTGCGGCCCGTCGGCTCTTGCACCGGCTGGCTCCCCCCCAAGACCCTGCCCTCGTTCGACGGATTCTGCACGGCATTGGCATGTGTTTGTCGGTGGAACCACCACCAGCACATCAACCCCACAGCGACGACGACGACGACGATGGGTTGTTTGGGACAGTCTTGTACTGGGGATCGAACGCCCCCACCGACAGTTTGATGAAACTGGTCAACGTGCTGGACACGCAGCTCGAGCCGGAGATTCCCATGTGGAACGTCTCGATCGATTCCACGAGCCTCGCCAAGCAGCAACTCATGCTGGACACGTCCATCGTCCATCGGTAAAGCACATAAAACTCGTATATGTTGGTGTATAATCTCGTTGATGCATAAGTTGAATCGCTACACGTAGCTACGTCCAATGCGACGGCTGCGGCATCAACCCGTTGGTCGGCCATCGCTTCAAGTGCCAGTCTTGCTCCAACTACGACCTATGCACGGCGTGCTACGTTGCCAACGTCCACGAGATGGACCATATGTTTTTGCGGTGTTCCGACGCGTCTGGCGGCGGCGATCCGCTGCCTCCTCGGTCCAGTGAATCGCTGACGGGGGCGCAGATATGGAAATCCAGTCTTTTGCAGTCGGAACTACTAGCCAAGGGGTAAGCCTCCCTCGTTATCGATCTCCTGCTAGGGTTACTCTATTTACCCGCAAAAAGAGTGGGGCCAACCATTGTTCACGTAGCTTTGTGGTTTTGCGGCTGTCGTCTAAAGCTGAATGCATCGCCATGGCCGAAACCATCACGTCATCTTCGTTGGGTTTGACTTGCTCGGTGGTGGACGTCCAGCACATTCGTCGACTGCAAGCGCTCGTTCCTGAAAAAGCGGCGGCGAGTCTGCGCAATACCGTGGCGGCCACAGTCAATGCGAGCATGGAGCATTGTAAGTTGGACACGTACGCTATCAAGCAAGAACTGGCGTCTGAATTCGTCGACTTGGTCCGCCATTGGCTTCTGCCGGCCTCGAGAGCGTTCGATGTGGTCGTGACGTGTCTAAAGCTCGTGCCTGGGTTTTCCAAGGGATCAGCCAGACCATTATACGACGGCATGGGCGCCGTGGCCGTGCTGGGGGGGTTAGTCGAACCGCTGCGCGTCGGGGGGGTTGTCTGTTGGAACCATGCAAAGGCCCAAGTCCGAGCCATCTTTCCTCATGTTGTGCACGTTCAAGTGGCATCCACTGGTCGAGTGGAACTGAACGTGAAAAAGGCCGACGTCGTCCCCGTCTCGGCAACAGACGTGTCTGCCGACTGCGCCAAACAGCTGGTGGAAGTGCTGTATGTGTTTGACGACATCCTCCAAGAGATTGACGTGTGGCTCAAATGCGATGAAGTGAGCACGTTCAAAGCCGACATGTGCTGGCGCGTGCTCAAGGCAGTCCAAGTGCTCGTGCCGCTGTGGCCCAGTGTCTCAGACAACCAAGTGCTGGCCATGTACGGGTGTATTCCACAAACGCTCATGTTGTTGGCTCAAAAAGGGCCTGTGGGGATGCCGTCCACGTCCAACGAGCTGGCTCGCGCACTTGAAATGGTACGGATATTTCTCGTCATGTTTGTGTCTTCCTTGTGATTCCGATATTGTGTACACTAGACGTGGATGTACTTGCGCAAACTGCATCACTTTGTGGCTGTGAGCCCTGCCACCACGCAAGTTCCCATCCCGAACCCGTTGAACGACGACGCCAGTCTTGAAGTGCTCGAGGTAGCCAGGACATTTGTCTGTGTCTAGTCCTAATATATATATATATAGGCGGACGACAAGAATTCAGCACCGACGTACTGGTACAACATGTACGCCTATGCGACACTGGCCGACCTGCCACAGCACCCCGGCCGCAACAAGCTGCTTGATCACTGGGAACGCCACGTCATCCCCGCGATTCAAAAGTACGTGCGCGGGTCGTTCAAGTCGTACGAGATGGACTACTTCTTTGCCCAACTCCGAGAGCCATTGAGGGAAGGAAATAACGCCGCCGCGCGACGCATCGCGCACACGCTGTGCGATGGCCACGTGCCCCCAGGCTGCCTCTTTCCTGAAAACGACACGGATTGGTCGGCGCTGCAGTGGGATGACGTGGCCATCGGATCGACGTACTTCATCGAGTTGGACGTGGCCGCGGCCGTGCCTGCCATGGCGTGGTGCCACGGACACATGGGAACGGTTGCCTTGGTTGACCCGTCGTCCAAGCTGGCGCTTATGCAAGTGGTGCATCCGGACACGGCCACCCTGCAGCACTGGTGGCTCCCCGTGTCGCAGCTTCAAGCGGGCGACGCAGTCGTTCCGTCCGTGTCAAAGTTCACGGACAAAGTGGTCGGTGGGATGCGGGAGGCGGCGAGTCGCGCGGTGTTCAAGATGGCTCGAGCTTGTGTGTTTGCTATGGTTGCCAAGAGCCCCGACTTTGTAAAAGTCGACATGGTGCCCCGTTCGAGCGTCGGCTTTGCCTTGTCCGACTTGCTCCTTGTCGCAGGGGACGATTGGTCTCCGTTGGCCAAGGACAAGGCGCATCACCCGATCCAACAAGCGATTCACTTTCACGAGTCAGCCACCACCACCACATCATCATCAACCCCCCTAACCCACGCCGTACCAAAACTCAAACGGAAAAAACCCAAAGATTCGGCAGCGTTTGCAGACGACGTCGTGGCCGCGGCTGTTCCAAACCACGTCAAGAAGCGCATGGCGGCGCATGTGTCGATGGCCCTAACCAAAGCGATGGACCACCACCGGTGCTTTGTCCTCACGAGCCCGAGTCCCCCTGCGCCGCTCGTGCGACTGCACGTGCCGGACGTGAGTTGGCTCGTCCTGACCTTCTTTGTCCACCCCGTGCTCATGGACTTGCCCGCGGGAAGCAGCATGGAAATCTTCTCGGACGTCGAGTGCACGCACTTGATTCGGGGCTACTACGGAGGCCGCAAAGGCCTGAGCAAGCTGCCGCCGGTGTGGGTCCCCGCAAACACGTGCTACATCAAGATGGCCGCGGCCGAGTTTGCACGGTACAAAGTTCGCGTCGACGGGGTTCACGGGGCGTTGGGAGTCGCCACGTGGCTCAACGAATGGCTGAACGATCCACATCAGTGGTGTATGTTTTTGGAGCTGGGTCGGTGGCCCCCACTGGTGCAGCAGATCGCGTTTGGCGCGTTGATTCCGAAGATGCCTCGGTCGTTTTCGTCGGCGTTGGCGACCAAGCTGGCGGACCAGTGGAAGGTCGTGTATGCCGAGGAGCGGCCCGTGTTCTCTACGTACGCCCAGCAGTTGGTCGAAATGATGGCTGTGGTGCTACCCCCCTCGGACCCCCATACGGCGACGCCGGCCGACGTCGTCCAGTCCTTTCGACGCATGACCAAGTTTGCCGATGCGTTTGCCGACGAGGCCACCAGTGGAAAGAAGGACGGGGGCGTGGTGGGCCGAGTGCCCGTGGACGAAATCGCCGCTGTGTTTAAGCGCCTTCATTCGGAGGACGTTTACACCCGTCGACTACTTATCCTGCAGAAGCTGCCTCGCACGATGGACATTGACGGGCTCGTCCAGGCCGTGTCCAAATGGGTCGTCCGTCTCTCGCTGGAATGCTGCGGAGAAGCCGACGATCAAAGTGAGCGATTTATGCATAGGATTGATTGATGTGTATATGTGTCTAATGAGAGTGTGTAGGCATGTTTTCCGCGACAGATGTGACGCGATTCGGCATTCTGGCCCGCGTATTGTACTGTCCGACAGATGCCACCGGGTACTCCCGCGGGTACTGCGTCGTGGACGTTGGGCGGGACGACATGATTGACAAACTCAAATCGAGTATTACGCACACGCCGTTTTACTTTGAAGGCGACCACACCGACGACGATCCGTCCCTGATGGCCTTTATCAACCAAACAGCCTCGCAATCATCTCGAGACACTCCAGACCTTCAGCCAACCCCCATGTGGGCGTGTGCGTCGTGTACGTTTGAAAACAGTGCCGACGCCGCCAGTTGCAACTTGTGCGGGACGCCACATCCAAACACCACCCAAGGGGGACCTCCATCAGGGGCGGACGCTGGATGGACGTGCGCGGCTTGCACATTCTTGAATGGATGGACCACGCCGACTTGCTCGGTGTGCGGCACCGAGTGCGACCAAGAACCTCCACTGCCAGCCCCAACGACCCCGCCGCCACCGCCGCCGTCTTCTATCATTCTGCAGGATGGCAAAGCAGCAGCCGCCGAGCCGCCACCGTCGGATTTGAACCAGCACCATTTGTCCGTGCTGACCTTCAACGACGCGTACGCTGCGGGAGATTGTCGCGATCCGCGTGTGAATCACATTTTGGACGCATTAGTGCCACAGGCAAAAGCGATCGAGTTGACGGGCGAGTCCGACCTGCCGACGTGCCCGCGGGAGCGGTACATGGCGCTGCGTTCGAGGGGGTTCGACCTCCAACTGACGCGCAGTAGCTTCACGTCGGTGCAGCACGCCGTGGCGGCGATGGCCAAATGGACATTTGCCATGGACGTGCACCTGATCGAGGCCGCGCTTGGCCAATGCCATCGCCTTGGGCTGCCAAACTTGACCCAAATGTCGGTCAGCCACGTGCAGAGTATCGTCGACTCGAGTCAGCAAGAGTTGAGTGCGTTGTCCTTGCCCGAGATTCGGCTTCGGTTTTCGATCCTCCAGGAGTGGAACGTCCTGCTCGCTGACACGTTGAGTCTGGTGGACTTCAACCACGGTGGCGTCGGTGCCAAGCTCATGCGGCTGCGAAAGTTGATCTTTCCCGGCGTGAAAATCCGCTTTTTCAACTTGGTCCAAGACAACACGGCGGCGGGCGACAAGAAGCCGACGGTGACGCTCGATCGGTTGCAATGGAAGCGAAACCCGACCGTGTCGCTGTTTGCGTTGGTCCAGCGCCAGCTCATGGCGGCCAACCCGCTGTCGTTGCGCGCCAAGCGACCCCTCGGCGCGTCCGACCCGTTCATCGCGTTCGCCGTCGTCTTTACGGGTGAAAACGTCGTGGGTGAAGGCGGGCCGTACCGGCAGCTCTTTAGTGACATGGCGCACGAGTGTCTACGGTTGAACGTGTTCCAACCCACACCCAACGCCATTCTCAAGCTGGGTGAGTGCCGTGACATGGTGCTCCCGCGGCCGTCCGCCACCTCTAGACTCGAGCTGGACCAGTATGAATTCGTGGGGCTACTCATGGGCTGCTGCCTTCGCACGGGGGTACACTTGCCGCTCCGTGTGGCGCCGGTCATCTGGAAACTGCTCGTCCATCAACAAGTGGGGATGGCCGACTTGAAGCAGATCGACCAGGCGTCGCATGATAGTTTAGTGAGCATCCAAACGGACCCTACGATGCTCTTGGAGTCGCTGACGTTTACAACGGTGACGAGCGATGGAACGGTCGTGGAGGTTGCCCCGAACGGACAATCCAAAGCCGTGACCAAGGTCTAGTTATACAACACCGTGGACGATGGGGATATATATATGTATCTCTGATACAATTGGTAGGAAAACGTGACAGAGTACGTACGCCTTGTGATACAAACCCGGTTGAACGAATGCAAACCACAAGTGGATGCGATGCTGCGGGGCGTGGGCAAGATCGTGCCTGTGACACTGTTGCCGCTTTGTACGTGGAAGGAATTGCAGCAGTGGATATGTGGCAGTCAAGTGATCGACATTGACTTGCTCAAGGTACACGATCAAATCATCTTTGGCTTACACATCTAAGAGCTGGTTGTTTTCGATTTACGGTTAGCGCCACACAAAGTACTCGGCAGGCATGACGGCCGAGTCACATCCACATTTGGAGTACTTTTGGCAGGCATTGCATGGCTTCTCCGAGTCTGACAAGCGCCGATTCATCAACTTTGCATGGGGCCAAGAGTCGCTGCCTGCCGACGACGCAGAATTCGACCGGACGCGTACCCGCCTGCTCATTAAACCGCCTCCCATCACCGCGACGGGCCAACCCCAAGACGCCCTCCTGCCCAAAGCCGATACCTGTACCCTCCCCCCATATATACATACGCGTGTATCGATTGATTCGAATGGGTTTATATGTAGGTTTCTTCAACATTGAACTGCCCGCGTACAGCTCGGTGCAAGTAATGACGGAGAAGCTCCATTTGGCGATTAACTATTGCATGAGCATGGATGCCGACGATCCGGCGGGGCGCATGGACGTGTACTTTGAGGGCGAGTGACGAGTGTGGTCACGAGATCACAACCAGGTCGGGGTACGTGTCGGCGGTATGCGCGAGCACTTCTTTCGACACACTAGACCACAAGTAATTAGGTCATGGATTGCTAATATTAAGTTAGCCCAGTCATTGCTAATTGAATTAGCCCATGTATTGCTAATATTTGCACGTACTTGGTGTATTTCACATCCACTTTTTTCAGCCGCTTTGCGTCGCGTTCAGTAGACGTCATGGCGTCGTCGTCCACGCCAGACATTTTCAGTTGCAGAAACGAGTAAATCGCCTACACAATCGTCATATAATACATAAATATATACTACGTAGTAGTAATATAATACATAAACTCATAATAGTATAATACATAAATAAATAATAATATATAAATACATAATAATATATAAATACATAATAATATATATATATATAAATATATATAAATATAACAGTATGATATATATATGACCCATTCGTACGTCGTTTGACACTGTTTTGACGCCACATAGATTCAATTCGTGCAAGTTTGGGCATTGTCTGGCCATGTGGTCGAGGAGGCGGTCCCTACTCGAGTATATATATATATAATATAATATATATATATATATATATTTACACAGAGGAAGGGGTCGATCGAGATGCAAGATAATGGAGATGGGCGTACGTGATCTTGTAGTTCCAGTGCAAATGCAGCGTTCCAATGGACGGTCGGCGCTCGAGCAGTGCGATGACCGCCTCATCCGACAGGCCGCAGTAGCCCACCGCGAGGCTCTGGAGCTTCCGGCACTTGTTGGCAATCACTTTCAGAGTGCTAAGCATGCGTGAAGACATAAGACGACATGCACATATGGACGTACTGGTCTGTGACGCGGTGCCCGGATATATGGACCTTCAAAAACTTGGAGTGGTTGGGGTGCTTTTCGATCAACGTCGTGATCCCGTCGATGGTCATGTTCGTGTTGCCGCTCACGTCGATGCTGTTGAGCTTGGGGCTGTGCGCCACAAGAATGCGCAGGGTTTCGTCAGTCAATTTGCGGCAGTTCTGGAGGTTCAACTCCTTGATGTCGGGGCAGTGCGTGAGCAATGCGAGGATAGAGTCGTCCGTCAATCGAAAGCACCCCGAGAAGTTCACGTGATGCAAGTTCACTGTCACCGTAGCCATCCGCTTGATGAACTCGGTTGAGATCTTAGCTCCATTGATCTCAATCTTGGACAGGTTTGCGTGAAAGAACGACGTCGGCAACGTGTCATCGCTGAACCGGCCAGTCTGCAACACTGCTCGGATCAGTTCTTGCTTGACTTTGTGGGTCTTGGATCGACTGGGGTCGTTGATGCGGTGGGCTCTTGCAAGCGACTTCTCGTTCAGCATGTCTGGGGAATACCGCTTGGCCATGAACTTGAGGATGAGCTCCTGCAGCGGCAACACATCACGCTGGAACGCCATCCTGTTGGAATCTGTGATTTAAATAAACTCGGATATATGATAACTTGCATGAAATTGAAACTCTGGAACATAATACTTCAATAATTGATATTTGGATACTGTAGACGTATTAATACCAGTAGTATTAATACTCGGAGTACGTATTAATATTATTAATAATAGTACTATTATTGTGCTTTTCACATATTTTGCCCGTTGTTTTAGCTCCTAAAACCATCCAAAGTTTAACCTAAACAGAAGTTGCACTCGACGTAAAAGTAAGCTTCCCCACCGTTCTGTCATTGGCTGATCTAAAACTTGCGTTGTTTTACTAAAACTACTTCGTTTTATTTACTCCCGTGGCCAAGCAGTCATGCAGAGTAATGACCTACTGGGGTAAGCTCGCAGTGCACCAGCTCACACGAGCTTTGCAGCCAGCTTGTTAGCAACTCGTTGGCACGAAAAGTCGAGCAAGAAGCACTCAACATCAACCTTTATCGAGCG